TCTAACTACCTGTCTGTGTGCAGGTGCAGGAGAATCAGGTAAAAGCACGATTGTGAAACAGATGAGGATTCTTCACGTCGATGGCTTCAACGCTGAGTGAGTCCATGACATCACATCATCACTTCCTGTCAGCTGATCCCACGTCTAATCAAAGATCCACCCTCCATCTTTAATTCTGCAAGATCAATAATCAATAATCAGATTTCTAGTCTATATAACATCATCACGGTTTCGTTCTGTTAAACAACTCACACAATCTTCAGACCCAAGGTCTCAACTTTTCAGAATAAAAGCTCTGTAATGAAGTATTACAGCAACAAAACAAATGTCACACTTTTACTTTGAAGACATATTGCCAAACAGGAAGTGATTGTATGAATGTTGTTGTCGAATGATCAAAATGTTCTTTGCTGATTATTGACCTGAGGTTTGACTCAGTTACCAACTGTTGCTGTAGTTTACCTGAGGACCTAAAAGAAGACACGTTCAACTCTGTCCACACACTGAAGACACCCCCCCACCCCCCCCGACTGACACTGAGCTTGTCGACTGTTTATTCAAGTTTTTCTTATATTGTATGAATCACAAGTTCAAATCAACTTTCTCTGTGATTTATTAAAAACATGACAGACACAGACACACAGAGAGAGAGACACACAGACAGACAGAGGGAGAGAGAGAGAGACAGAGAGACAGACAGACAGAGGGAGAGAGAGAGACAGAGAGACAGACAGACAGAGGGAGAGAGACGGACAGAAACATTTGTGGAATCATAGGTTGAGTCCTGAGTTTCTCATCATGAGACATTTGACTTTTCTTGTTCCTCAGTTCAATGTTTGATGTCCGTCACATTAAACCTGTTTGTTTGTGTTTTAGAGAAAAGCAGCAGAAGACTCAGGACATCAGGAAAAACGTGAAGGACGCCATCGTGGTAGGTCAGACTGACATGTGAAGCTCTGTCCGCTCCAAGCAGCCAATCAAAGCCTGTGTGTGTGTGTGTGTGTGTGT